GGCCCTAGAGCTTGAGCAATCCATGTTCCTAAAACAAAGAGGACATAAGAAAACCTTGGATGGGGTCCTGTTACTTGGAAAACAACTAAAACCACTGAGTTAACCAAGAAGTTGCCCTTGGCCCTCCCCTTGTTTAAATTCTTGCAAGAGACATACATTCCCAAACCCAAGGCCTCACTATTGAAAGCCATAACAACAGGTTGTCCCAGGTCACAATGCCTCGATTTCTTAAAAACGTTCCCGGAATATGACAACCACAGGGTTAGTCCCCCCAGCTACCCTCGGACTTACTCCATTTGGTCATCTGGTATTGTAATCCACCAATTATTTTAAAGGTCAACCTTCACTAACCAATGCGATTTGCTTCTGTAACTTGCTTGCTCCCTCCCCATTTTGTGGTTTTTTGCCTTTTAAAAACTATGCCTGCTACACTGAAGGTGCGTTCTGCTCCTGCGTGAGCAGACCACCCTACGTATAAGTAGATAATAAAACTTTCCTTTGTGATTTGCATGAGAGACCGACTCTTGGGGTCGACTCTTTACAAGTGACTCGACCCTTACATTTGGTTGCTCGTCCGGGATCTTCTCCCATGGTGGAAGACCCCAACGGCTGCAAAATCTCTCGGGGTAAGTATGGCCGTATAACTCTGTTTCTTGTTTTATGTCTTGTCTCATGGTTTCGTTTCATTCTCAAGTTGGGAGCGCTCAATTTCAGTCGTCTGTTTCAGGTGGCTGGGAACAAGACGCATGAGCATTATGATCTCCGTGCCCCTGGGATTCTTTTCTTTAGGTTTATTACACTGTCTGGCCTTTGGGAGTTTGTTTGGTGTTTTACACCGTCTGGCCTTCGGGCGTCTGAGCGATCGCTAGTCTGTCTATTGGCCGTGGCTGGCAACGGGACGCGTGAGCTCTCACTGCCTGCAATCGGCAGGCGTGCCTGGAGGTTGCAAGTCACTCAGCTGAGGGATGCCTCAGTGTGGTTCCGGATCCCTGGGGTGACCCAGCTGGATCCATTTGTATGTGCCCTCTGAACGAGGGACTCTTGTGTGGCCAACAGAATCTGTCTTTTGACTAAGTTTTAGTGTTTGATGTTGTCTATGTCCGTGTGTCTGGCGCCATAACTTCCTTTTTTCTTTTCCTACAGCACCTACAGCACTTTCATTGTTAATGACTTCTTTCTCCTCAATAGGATCCCCCTCCCATTGACATCCTTCACGTGTCCCCGTTTATTTGTTTGCAGCAGCCTACACTGTTTTTGCCTGCCTCTGCCCCCTTGGAGTTCTGTGGGACGTTGGTTATTTTGATAATATGGGACAAGTAACATCTGCTCCTCTCGCCCTTACCTTAGGTCATTGGTCGGAGATTAGGGGGAGAGAACATAATCTTTCTTTGAATGTTAAAAAAGGAAAATGGCAAACTCTCTGTTCTTCAGAGTGGCCCTCCTTCCAGGTGGGATGGCCTCCAGAGGGATCTTTTCACCTGTCTCTGGTTCAAGCAGTAAAAACCATAATCTTCCATTCTGGTCGCTCCAGCCACCCTGACCAACAACCATATATTCTGGTTTGGCAAGATCTTTGTGAAAATCCACCAGAGTGGGTAAGACCTTTTCTTCCTCCAGCTCTACCTAAACAGGCTACCCTCTTGCCAGTTAAGGCTCAATCTTCACCTCCCGGTCTCTATCCACTTTTACCACCTCCTTTCCTACCAGAATCCCAAACAGATCTGATTCAGTTCGATCTAGAGGATCCTCCTCCCCCTCTATATGTGCCCGCGCCCCCTCCTCCTGTTGCCTCTCCTCAGGCCCAACCTGCCTCTTCGGAATCCTCTTCGTCTTATGACTATGGTAGACCAGCCCAAGGAAGGTGTGGAGCCCGAAGCAAAGAAGCAAAAAGCCCACAAGATGTCGCTGTTACTCTTCCCCTCCAGTCCTCCAATGCTAGACAATGGTCCCGGAGCAGAAATGCCAACACTTCAGTACTGGCCTTTCTCCACTTCAGATTTGTATAACTGGAAAAATAACAATCCTCCTTTTTCTGAAGATCCTTCCAGGTTGGCCGCGTTGCTGGAGTTGCTCATGTACTCTCACCAACCCACCTGGGATGATTGTCCTCAGCTGTTGAGTACTCTGTTTACTCAGGAGGAAAGGGAAAGAATCCTCACAGAGTCCAGGAAATTGGTTCCTGGACCGGGTGGGATACCTACCCAGATGTCGAACCTCATTGATGATGCCTTCCCACTGCGCCGCCCTGACTGGGACCCAAACACCCCTGACGGTAGGGAGCATCTGTCCATCTATTGCCAGACTCTTATGGTGGGTCTCAAGGCGGCCGCGCGTCAGCCTACTAATTTGGCTAAGGTAAGAGAAATTAATCAGGGTCCTGATGAATCGCCCTCGGCATTTCTAGAAAGAATAATGGAGGCTTATCGTAGATATACTCCCTTCAATCCTCAGGACGAAGGGTTGAGAGGGTCTATTGCCATGACCTTTATAACTCAATCAGCCCTAGATATCAGAAGAAAACTCCAACGTTTAGATGGGTTGCAAAATATAACCCTAAGAGATTCAGTAAAGGAAGCAGAGAAAGTGTTTTATAAAAGAGAGACAGAGGAAGAAAAAGAAATGAGAAAAGAAAAGGAAAAAGAAGAGAGGGAAATGATAAGGGAGAAGGAAAGAGAACGAAGACGAAATAAGGAATTAACTAAGATCTTAGCCACAGTAGTTCAGGGAAATACAGATGAGAAAAAGCCATGCCGCCCTCTGCTAAAGCCCAACCAATGTGCTTACTGTAAGTAAATAGGACACTTTATCAAGGATTGCCCTAAGAAACATAGACAACAAGCTCTTGGAGCCCAAAGGCACCAACCTAATATGTTAGCCCTAGAGAAAGGTGACAACTAGGGGGGACGGGGCTCAGTCTCCCTCCCTGAGCTCAGGGTAACCTTTGATGTGGAGGGGACTCCAATTGATTTTGAAGTAGATACAGGTGTGGTATTCTCTGCCCTTCAAAGACCCCTTGGACCTCTGTCCAGTCAAATGTCCTTAGTTCAAGGGGCAAATGGCAGTAGATATCGGGCTTGGACTACAAAGAGGACTATGGATTTGGGAAAAGGAAAAGTACAAAATTCTTTTCTAGTCATACCTGAATGCCCAGCTCCCCTCATGGGAAGAGACTTATTAACTAAATTAAGAGCCAGAATAACCTTTGAGCCTCAAGGGCCCCAAGTGACTTTCCTTAACCCTCTGGTGAGTCAACCTGTGGCCACTATGCTGACCATAGCCACCAAAGATGAATATCAACTCTATACCCAACCCAAAGCCCCATCTATTCCTCAGAACTGGTTGACAGATTTTCCTGATTCATGGGCTGAAACTGCTGGGCTAGGACTTGCCACCTCACAACCACCTGTAGTAATAACTTTAAAAGCGTCTGCCACTCCAGTTCACATTAAACAATACTATATGAGTAAAGAAGTTCACCAGGGGATAAAAGGACACATACAAAAGTTTCTTGACCTGGGAGTATTAATACTATGCCGGTCGGCCTGGAATACTCCTCTGTTGCTGGTCAAAAAGCCAGGGACAGGGGACTATAGACCAGTACAAGACCTATGGGAAGTGAACAACAGAGTAGAGGATATACACCCTACAGTGCCTAATCCTTACAACCTGCTCAGCACCCTGAGCCCCGAAAAGACTTGGTATACGGTATTGGACCTAAAAGATGCCATCTTTTGCCTGTCTTTGCATAAAGATAGCCAACCCCTGTTTGCTTTGGAATGGACGGACCCAGAGATGGGAACAACAGGACAGCTGACTTGGACCCGCCTCCCACAGGGCTTCAAAAATAGCCCTACTATCTTTGATGAAGCCCTCCACAAGGACTTGGCTGTCTTCCGAGTCCAACACCCTGAGGTAACTCTTCTCCAATATGTAGACGACCTTCTGCTGGCTGCAGATTCAGAAACAGACTGTATGTATGGGAATCGGGGACTTTTACAAGAACTGGCCAAATTGGGATACCGAGCCTCAGCTAAAAAGGCTCAAATTTATCAAAAGGAAGTCATTTTTCTAGGGTACAACCTCAAAGATGGAAAACGATGGCTCACTGAGGCCAGAAAAAAGACTGTCATACAAATTCCTCTGCCCATAAACCGGAGGCAATTACGGGAATTCCTGGGAACTGCAGGGTTTTGCGGACTATGGATTCCAGGATTTGCTTCCCTGGCTGCCCCCCTCTATCCCCTCCTTAAGGGAGATGCCACTTTCATCTGGGGCCCAGACCAACAACAGGCCTTTGATGATATCAAGAGAGCCCTGTTGTCAGCCTCTGCCTTGGCTCTCCCCGATGTGGACAAGCCTTTCACTCTCTACATTGAGGAAAAACAGGGGGTAGCACGAGGAGTATTAACTCAAGCCTTTGGCCCCTGGAAGTGGCCTGTGGCCTATTTATCAAAAAGATTAGACTCTGTGACCAACGGATGGCCCCACTGCTTGAAAGCTATTGCAGCTGCTGCTATGTTAACCAAAGATGCAGACAAATTAACTTTGGGGCAAAAGCTAACTATAATAGCCCCACACACTCTGGAGAGTGTCACTCATCAACCTCCCGATAGATGGCTTTCTAATGACAGGATAACTCATTACCAAAGTCTCCTGCTCAATAAAGACCGAATAACGTTCAGTCCGCCAACTGCCCTCAACCCAGCCACTCTACTGCCCGAAGAAACACCAGAACAGATCCTCCACACCTGCCAAGAGATCCTGGCGGAAGATACTGGGATTCGCGGAGACCTTACAGACCGGCCACTCCCAAACGCTGAGGTAACCTGGTACACTGATTGTCGGGCGCCCTCCCGTCCAGCAGGAAAG